TTGAAAATACTTGAGCCGGGTTGCCCCCATTGACATTAGTATACTGTCAAATTTTCTGCATACAGTGTATAGATCGATTTGGTTCCCGATAGGACACCTTGTATAAATCGCCATTATTTTTGTTTAGATAGGTCTGAATCCAGGGGTGGTTAACTCCTTCAAATATGTACAGGGTGCTGCAATTTGGAGTGTTTTAACAGGAAAAACACACTTCCAGACCAGATAGAGGAATATTGACTTAGACGTCATGGGATCCATTTTCGAGAAACGTCGATTGTCAAAAACCGTATCGCGATATCTTCAATGGTACCATTAATACAGGGCGATTTTCCCCTATTATGAAAAATGGCTATAAGTTTTTTATTTATCAATTTTTTTCATTTCTGTAAAAACATTATGGAGACACTTTTTTGAGCACAATCCAGTGGCGGACTCGGTTTTTTTCTATAACGCTCCGATTTCGAGATATCGACCAAATTCCGATATTTTCAAATGAAACATCCTTTATATTAAAAGCTCATTGGATAGCTCTGTTTTTGCTGATTTCAATGATATAAAGTTCGATAGGTTTATCTCTAACAGTTTTCCAGAAAAAAAATTATATCTGTTTCAGTCATAAGAAACAACGTGTTAGAAAGAGACCTTTCTCACTTTCCTTACACATACCGGGTGACAATGAAACTACTACCCACGGCGGCATTTCTTAACGGCTCAAGATAGAAATATGCAATTTCGTATGTCGATAGGGTTGAAAATTTTGAACAATTTCAATATAAAAACAATTGAATATCTTTTCCGGTTTCACCGGAAATGGCCTTGACTTTGTTATTTCAAATGGGACACCCTGTATATTATATTTTTTTTGGACTCTCTCAACAATTCTAAATAACTTTTGTGTTACATACCCTATGTCAAAAATTGATAGTTTTTGAAATAGAGTGGCTCAAAAATATGTCGTAATTCCTATTTGTTTGTATTTTATGCAAAAACTGAGTATGCCAGAACAAAAAAAATCATGGTTATTTGCTCCTTATTTAAAGAGGTATCCGATAAATAATTAAAGAGAAGAATTAATGCAAGTTAAGAAAAACGCGTTTTTCGAAAATGAATGTTTCAGTTTTTGATCGGACCCTGTACGAAACTGGTTCATCTTATGGAAATGAAACTTCCACTACCCAATCCTACTTTTTTATCCTTTATTCAAATATGACAAATTCAACCTTCATAGATACCTGCAAAATTAAAAATTTGATAACCCATTTTCAAGTTGTCACTTCACTCATTTAATTACATATACCTACGTACATTACGGTTATATTTCACTACGGTAAAAAATCGAGTGAAAAATATTCGAAAGATGCAGGATATTCTGGTCACAAATCAACTGGTCAGTATATATATATATATTTCAAAAACTATCAATTTTTAACATGCGGGGTATTCATACAAAAGTTATTTAGAATTGTTCAAAGAGAGAGAGAGAAAAATATTATATACAGGGTGTCCCATTTGAAATAACAAAGTCAAGGCCATTTCCGGTGAAACCGGAAAAGATATTCAATTGTTTTTATATTAAAATTGTTCACAATTTTCAACCCTATCAACAAACCGAGTTGCATATTTCTATCTCGAGCCGTTAAGAAATGGCGCCATGGGTAGTAGTTTCATTGTCACCCGGTATAAAATCCTTTTCTAACACATTGGTCCTTACGACAAAAACAGATATAATTTTTTTTCTCGAAAACTATTAGAGATAAACCTATCGAACTTTATATCATTAAAATCAGCAAAAAATCACGTGATTACAGGATTCTAAAAGATTTTAGATTTATGAGATTTTAGGTGATTTTGGATCATTTTAGGGAATTAAGAAAGGGTTTTTATGGCATTTTTACCAACTAATTTAGGGGAGCCCTGACAATAAGTATTTTTTGAACTGACATTTCTTCATAGAAGACTGTTATTTTAAGGAATACTTATTGTTGAAGCTCCCCTGAAATTGTTGGTGGAAACGGCCATTAGAGATCCTAAAGGATTTTTAGAAATTTTACCGGATGTTTTAGCATTCCAAAGGATTTTTGGAAATTTTGAAGGAATTTTCCAGAAAGTGCTAGAAATTTTACCATAAGATTTCATAATACTTTTCTGAATTTCACCATAAGATTCCATGGAATTCCACCATCAAAGTTAATGGAATTCTTGTACAAAAATTCCTTGGAATTACAATAAAATATTTCATGAAATTCCACTAAAATTTTATGTAATTCGACAGAAATTACTCAGAATTTCACTTAAATTTAATTCAATTCTTCGGAATTCCGTCGAAATTTCTCGTGGTTCCATGGAAATTCTAAGGAAATTCTGTTCAATTCCAAGGGAATTCTTCGGATTCCATGTAATTTCACTGGAATTCCACAATAAAATTTTAAGGAATTCCATGTATGTAATTCGACGCTAATTCCTTGGAATTTTACTCGACATTCATCGAAATTTTATGTAAGTCGACACAAAGTGAAATTATTTATACATTCTGAATATTTCATAATTTTTTTTTTTTTTCTTTTCGAAATCCTACTGAAATTTTCCAAAATTCTATAGAAATTCCAAATTCCATAATTTTTTTAAAACTTTACTGAAATTCCCCAAAACTTCACCACTGAATTATCTTGAAATTACAAAAAAAATTCATAAAATTTTTCGGAATTTAACTGACGTTTCCTGTAATTTCTTAGAAATTCCTCGTAATTTCACTAAAATTTTATGAGAATTTTTTGAAATTTCACTGAAATTCCACGTTATTAGTCGAAAATGTCTCGAAATTCCAATGAAACTTCAACATTTTTTTCAAAATTTCATTTATTTCCATAAGAATTTTTCGGAATTTCACTGAAATTCTCTTTCAATAATCTTAAGATTTCTCGGAATATCACTGGAATTCCTTATGAAACTATAGGAATAATTGTTCAAAATTCCACTTAAATTTCATGTAATTCCCTGACAATTCCTTGGAATTCCATGCAATTGCATCGGAGCTCCATATAATTCGACGAAAATTCCTCGGAAATTATGTAATTTTTTGAAACTTTTTTAAAATTCTTGTAATTTAACGAGCACTGGAATTTCATGTTGGGAATTTCGGTGTAGTTCAATGTAATTCTTTTAAATTCCTCCATGCAACTCATTCAGGATTTCATGTAATTCTTCGAAATTCCATTAAAATCTCAAGTTATTCCATGGAAATTCCGTGAAAATTTTAGTTAATTTCATAGAAATTCTTTGGAATTTCGCCTGAAGATTTTATGGAATTCTTAGATAATTTTTTCTCGGAATTACAGTATAGGATTTCATGAAATTCCTCGGAATGTTACTAAAATTTCAAAATTCCATAATTTTTTTTTTTAACTTTACTGAAATTCCCCAAAGTTTCACCACTGAAATATCCTGGAATTCCACAAAATTCCATAAAATCCTTCGGAATTTCATTGACATTTCATGTAATTTCTCGGAATTCACTAAAATTTTATGAGAATATTTTGAAATTTCACGTTCATCGCCGAAGATTTCTCGGAAGTTCAATGAAACTTCAAGGAATTTTACAAAATTTCATTTATTTTCATAAAGTTTTTTCGGAATTCCACTGAAATTCTCTTCTCATAGCCAGGAATTTCTGAGAATATTAAAGAAACTTCAAGTAATTTTTTGAAAATTCAACCAAATATATTGAAACATGTCATTATATGGGAATTTTTAGGAATATCACATGTTTTTAGCCGGACATTCCTCGGCATTCCACTTGTGGAATTTTCTGGAATTTTACTAAAATTCAGTAAGAACTGAAATTTCATGTTGGGAATTTCGGTGTAATTTCATATAATTGTTTAGAATTCCTCCATGCAATTCATTTAAGATTTCGTATAATTCGATCGGAATTTCACTGAAATTTCATGTAATTCGAGAGCAACTAAAATTTAATGTGAATTCTATGAAAACTCCGCAAAAATTTCACATGTAATTCCTTTTTCAGAATAACATAGTTCTGCCGAAATTTCTCGAATTTCCATTAAATTATGGAATTCTGAGAGACTTTAACAGAATTTTCGGGATTTCAAAGGATTTTTAGGAATTTGAAAGGAAATATTTTTTAGGATTGTTGATGATTTTATAAGATTTTGGTTTTAATTAAATTTTGTTAGATTTTGTAGGATTTTGACCAGTTAACCACCCCTCGGTCTGAATGTAAAAAAAATAATATATTTATAACACTTATGTAAAATATGACTGCAATAGAGCCCTACCGTCCTATGAAGAAGATATATTTTTCTTAAATTCCGCATATTCAAATTAGTCTAAAATGACATCAATATTGAAATAATCTGATGACACAGACGTTTTTAGTAATTTTAACCCTTTTAAAATAAAATAGAGGTTACACCACTCTCCTAAGGGGTGAAATTTTAGATGCTGCGGGTCAAATCACTTGAAATAGTCTAAAAAACACCTTCGCCAAGTTTAATGCTTTTAACCCAATTTGCTTTTTTCGTGAACCGCACTGACTAATAGTACAAATCGGCGACACTTCAACAAGGAACATCTTTATGTTAGCCTAGTGTGGACATACCGTTAGACTCAGTTATTCTTATTGATCTAATAAGAATCTTGATTTTTCTGGCAAATTTTATTCAGCCATAAGTAAAGGGAATAAAGGTTCGCAATTATACTGGAAATTGCTATCAAATTCTGAAAGTTGTTAGATTAGCACAGTAGTATAATCAATCGGCTAATAATTTGCTTGATATGTTCAGTGTTTTTAAAAATCCTTTCATGCACAATCACTACTACTAATACATATACTAAGTAATTACTGAAAAGTTGCTGGTTTGAAAAATTAAAATCGCATCATTAACCTCAAACTGTACTTAATCGGCCTATATTTTCGCATCAGACACTACCATCAACTCACAAAAAAAGACACATCAATAATTTTATTGTGCTTTTGGTAGAAGCCTTGGAGCAGCAGAAGCTAATCCAGACTAATCGGGAAACCAATACAACAATATCTCACGAGGACATAAAACCGCCGCTACAACTTGATGGCGACAAATCCAAAGCTCAACAAGACATTGAAAGCATTTTACGACAAGTGAGTGAGGAATTTGAACGAGAAAGAAATAATTCTCAAAGTAATTATAAGACTTATAAACCTCACAATAATATGGTGTCTGTAAAGAAGGAGCCACAGGACATTAAACCTGTGGTGTCAGCCTCACAAGGCCATCATGGCAGCGTTGCAGCTAATACGAGCTATGAAACGGCTTATTTGTCGTTTTTACACCAAAATGTTCCAGTTAAAAGTGGGAACGAAAGGCCTAGAGTTACTAAAGTGGAACCAAAAGTTGAAAATACAAATCTAGCCCAAAGTACTCTGTCTTTAATGAACCTACTCCAAAATAAGTCAAGTTTAGTGAGTCAAACCGAGCCTAGTCCATCTTCAACGAATCAAACCCAGATCATGCCGTCTTTAGTGAATCAAACTCAAACCACTCCATCTATAATAAACAAAAAACAAATTTCAACTATTTTGCAGAATCACATTCAAAGTAGGCCGATTTTACCAAACCAAATTGAAACTACCCGATCTTTATCAACTGAAAAACAAACTAAGCCATCTGTAAAGAGTCGAAAACAATCTACGCCAATGAAGAATCCGAAACAAACTCTGCCATCTTCAGTGAATAAAAAATCTCCCAAGTCATATTTGAAGAAACATCTCCAAAATATGCCAAATTTGCCAAAGCAAACCCCAACTACATCATTATTAACAAATCGAAACCAGACTACTCCAAATGCAATGAATCTTGAACAAAATCAAAACCAGACTATATCAACTGCAATGAATCTTGTACAAAATCGAAACCAGTCTACATCAGCTGCAATGAATCTCGTACAAAATCGAAACCAGACTACACCAGCTGCGATGAATCTTGTACAAAATAAAAACCAGACTACACCAGCTGCGATGAATCTTGTACAGAATCGAAACCAGACTACATCAGCTGCAATGAATCTTGTACAAAATCGAAACCAAACTACACCAGCTGCGATGAATCTTGTACAAATTAAAAACCAGACTACAACAACTGCAATGAATCTTATACAAAGTAAGACACCCGCAAGTCAACAAATTAAATCCAAGTCATCTTCAAAACATAAAATTCAATCAAAGCCATCTGTATTGAGTAGGCCTCAAAATACTTCAACAGGTATTAATAATACCCAAACTTCATCATCTTTGCTGAGTAAACCACAATATAATATATCTTCAACTAATAAAGTTGAAAATCAAATAATAAATAAACCCCAATCTATTTCATCTTCAATAAACAAATCCCAAACATCATTGAAAAAAGTTCGAACTAAGACGACATTACCGAGCCGCACTCAAAGTGTCATAATGAAACAAGAAAATAAGACCAGTTTTGACACTTCCGTAGCAAAACTTCCTAACTCGATTTCAATATCGAAAATGCCTATACCATCAGTTCCTGCTTCAATATCCGTAACAAAACTTCCCAATTATAGGGTAATCAAACCCGATCCCAAAGCTGAAAGTATTCCTCCTGTTTCTAATCACCAATATTTCTCTAACGAAACTGTCCCAAATAACACAGCTGATTTGGATTTATTCGATCAACTGCAAGGCAATAATCGTAGCAATAACACACAAAATTTTGGATTTTATGCGCCCAGCAATGACAATACTATAACATTGTATTCAGCACCTAGTGGATTTAATGAAGACATTCCACAATTATCCAGTACTATAGCGGCAAATACTAGTCAACAGGTAGAAAATATTCCTCAACAAGTGATTTTAAATCCTGCGAAGAATTTTAATGTATTTTGTTTGAATCCAGTTCAGCAACAAGTAGTACCCGCTGCTACTTTTCAAAATATCATTTTACCTGCTGGCGTTAGTTTAAATCCAGTTCCTCGTAAAGCAAATCCTATTTGGACTGATCAAAACTGGTATAGCATCAATTCTTGTGATACAACAGAATATACGAATAGGGAACGTTTTTATCCAATGACTAGTCAACCAATTAAATTAAGTGACTGTGAAAGGGACATTAAATTAGTTGATGTAGACGACATTACTGTTAACGGCAATAAAGAAATTCCTGAAAATATTGATAAACCTGGATCAATAGAAATTCAAGATTATGTACAAGAAATTGTTGTGCCATTAACATGCATTGAGAGTCAAGCAAATATTTCGGATGCTGAGCCAGATTCATCAGAAAATATTGAAGAGATATTGGATAAGGTTGCGATTAAAGAATCGGTTTTGCCACTAGAATGTAAGGAAAATCATGAAAATATTTTAAATAATTGTAAAGTTGCTGTAGAAGAAATAAATTTTGATATTGAAAGTGAAATTAATAATCATTTATCAGTGGCCAGTATCGTTGAGGTTAATAGTAACGAAATTTGTTGTCCCTCTTTAAATGATAACAGCAATAGTGAGAAAGAAGAAAAGAAATTAACTAAAAATAATAACGATAGTAACAAACCTTTTATTATTGAATCCATAGTTATTGACAAGAAAGTTCAAGAAAAAAAGAGCTCAACATCTTATTTGAAGAACATCAAAAAACGTACAATGGCTGCAACAATAGGACGAAGTTTTAAGCAAAAAAGCGAAAAAAAAGCTAACGCGAATCTCAAGAAAAACATTTTTAAAAAGCTCTTTGCAAAAACCTGCTGCAAACCGGTGAAAAAATTGGATGTTACTGATGCTGTTAGAGTATTAATGAGGAATAAAAATAAAAACAAACTATCTAAAACTGAAAGGGAGGAGAACAAGGAACTTATTAGAGATTTTATTCAGTATTATCATTCTAAAAAGGCCAAAAGTAGAATACCTCCGGTACCTACTTTAAAAAAACAGCAAATGGCTTTAACTCCCAAGAAAGTTAAAGTGGTACTTGATGATGTTTTGAAGAGATTTTCCGTGAGTGTACAGGAACATCTTAAAGCAGGCGGATCTTTGTGTTACGTGAGCACCATCTTAGAAAGAGAAGAACTGAAAACTAAAAAATCTAAGCACCAAGATAAAAAAGAAAGGGTAAGCTAAATAACTTAATAAATAAAAATAATTCTATATTGTTTCCATTGTTTAGATTTCAAGTGATAGGGCTTCAGTAGAAATCGATCAAGTGGTTTGGGCAAAACACCAAAACAACCGTTACTACAAAGCTAAAGTTACTGACATCACAACCAGCTACAAGTATTGTGTTTATTTTGACTGCGATGGAAGTTTTTCTAAAGACATAACCAACGATCATTTGGTGGGTTGGAACAAGGATAAAAAACCGACCAATGGGGATCGGTTGCGAATTCGGTGGATGGATGGTAATATTTATGAGGCATCTTGCATGGGACGAGTGGCTAATTGTGTTTACTCGGTAAGCATTATTTTATTTTCCATAATAGTTATATGGCATTATAGTAGGAGAGCCGGCAATATTAACGGGTATGTGATCGTTGCAATGGATAATTTTCACATAAAAAAAATAGCTCATAGTTACCTTTAAATTAAATGGATGGGTGGCCTCGATTCTCATGGCCGCAACCCTCTTATGGCTGGGCGTAAACTACCCCTCTTTTTCCGAAGGTACAATGTTATCGTTGCAATAGCTGAAAATTGGTAGATATATTCTTCAATATTTCTTCTCAAATAATATATAGGGTGGCCTCGATTTTGATGGCCGGAAATAATGGCAACCCTCATTGAAAGTCGAGGGCACGCGTTATTTTGCTTGCTAAATACAAATTTTTGAAAATGACAGCCTTCAAGTCACTTTCAAAGTTAAAAGAGGACTCTGTGAAGAGGATTTTACATACAGCTGTAGGTCTTTAGACAAAAAAAGAAACATGAAATTGTGTTAATAAAGTGTTTGCCGCATATGATGAGAACCCCCTACACCGTAAAGTACTTCTTATTTGTTGCGCTTATGGTTCTTGAAGTATCTTTTTATAAAACAACTTTACTCCATGAGAATCGAGGCAACCAATCCACTTGGTTTAAAGGTTACTATGAACTATTGTTTTATGTAGAAATTATCCATTGCAACGATCACATACCCGTTAGTATTGCCTGCTCTTGGACTATTAGAAATTAAATCTAGTCCTTATTTTTAAAAGATAGAAAGTCACATAAATAGTAGACAGGTAAAAGTAGCAACCGGGATAAAAAGTAACGATCTAAAGATATGTGTTTGAAATGTAAGAAATTCGTGTTGACCGAAAAAAGCTTTTTTCTACTACCGTGCGTAAAGTACTCACTTTACGCACTATTCAGAAGACGTAAAATTTCATTTCACGCATTAGTGCGTAAAGTAATTCACTTCACAACTAGTGCGTAAAGTAATGTCAATGACAGATGTCAACTTTGTTAATTTGGCATTTTTCTGGTAAATTACTTCACACACTAGTGCGTGAAGTGAAAATTCTTTACGCATTAGTGCGTAAAGTATTTGTCTAAATTAAATTTTTTGCACATATTTGATTGATAGTAGAAAAAATTTTGTATGCAATACATGCGTAAAGTACCTTTTTTCACTCAAAATTCACATTCGTGAGAAAAGGTTCACTTTACACACTTGTTGCATAAATAACTATTTTTTCAAGTTAGCGTGTTCATAATTTTAATCAATTACTAATCATTCTAAAAAAAAATTATAACTGAGAGACTGAGGAGGACGCGACTAATATACACTCTGATTTACGTAGTCTGCGTATTCTAGTTTCCAGGTGGATTAGTAATAGACCGTCAGTTAATGACAGATTTTGCTGACTGATGTTTTCTTTTCGGGGATTTCGACCACTGGAAATTATGTCAGTGTTGAGGTCAAGGTCTTATGGGAATTTTTTTTTTGGTTCCTAACAATTTCAAATTTGATTCTGTCGATTCTCATGAGCGAGAAAACGATCAGCAATCGAATATTTTTTCACAAGATCGCGCCCTTATTTCAACTCTTTCAGTTCATGCAAACCTTATGGCTTTGGTTTTTCATTATTAGATTGTTATACATTGTGTCCACTCAAGTTCTCAGCATATGGAAAACTTTTTTATTATCAATTTTACGAGAAAAAGTTATTCCTTATAAAAGTTTCTGCTTCTTGAAAAAATAGTATTAAACTATTGAAACTTGAAATAGCATCTACAGGGTGTTCAGAAAATAGGAAAATATACAGGGTTTTTTGGTAAAAGTAGAAAAAAAAATAGTACATCACTATTTTTTTAAGCCATTGATATTTTTTTCAGATTCAGCAAGTCATATTACAGTCCGTTATCAAAAACAAACCTGCCAAATTTGAAAAAAAAATTGGAAAAGGGATTTTTGAGCTAAAAAAACAATGTTTTCTAAAACTTTGACACCCTGTATCTTAGAAACTACGCATTTCCGGACACATGTTTATGGAAACTTTTTTTCTTAAAATATTGTGAAGAATCACATCGTGAAGTTACGAACCGTACTTAGGAAATACCCTGTATATTGTTCTATTTTTTGACCTCCCCGTACATGCTATTTCAAGTTTTAATAGTTTAATATTATTTTTTCAAGAAGCAGAAACTTTTATAAAGAATAACTTTTTTTTGTAGAATTGATAATAAAAAAGTTTCCCATGTGCTGCAAACTTAGGTGGACACACTGTATGTACAGGGTGGGCCAGTTTGGACACTTCCTTATGGAAACACCCTTTATTTTTAGAGATAGAAAAAAATTAACCCCCCACTCTGAGGCTCAAATTTCATGAAATTTTGATTGGTGCAAACCGCTTTTTGATATCTTCAACCGTTTAGCCGCTAGAGGGCGATTCTCGATTTTGAGCAATATTGTGAATCCTTCATAACTTTTTTGTTTATGAAAATAATTGATTTCCGTTAAAACTTTCTAGAAGCACTTTTTTAAGCAGAATTCAGTGATGTTCTTAGTTTTTTTCTATTTGGCGCCGATTTTGAGATATTGACCAAAGTCTGATTTTTTTTCAATGGGACACTTTTTATATTAATAGCTCATTGCAAAGCTATGATTTTTCTGATTTTAATGATATAAAGTTCGAAAGGTTTATCTCTAACCGTTTTCGAGAAAAAAAAATATTTTGGTTTTTGTCATAAGAAACAATGTATTAGAAAGAGACCTTTTTCATTTTCCTTACAGATATAAAGTCCTTTTCTAACACATTGCTTCTTATGAGAAAAACCGAATTTTTTTTTTTCTCGAAAACGGTTAGAGATAAACCTATCGAACTTTATATCATTAAAATCAGAAAAATCATAGCTTTGCAATGAGCTATTAATATAAAGGGTGTCCCATTGAAAAAAATCAGACTTTGGTCAATATCTTAAAATCTGCGCCAAATAGAAAAAAACTGAGAACGTCCCTGAATCCTGTTTTAAAAAGTGCTTCCAGAAAGTTTTTACGGAAATCAATTATTTTCATAAACAAAAAAGTTATGAATGGTTCACAATATTGCTCAAAATCGAGAATCGCCCTCTAGCGGCTAAACGGTTGAAGATATCAAAAAGCGGTTTGCACCAATCAAAATTTCATGAAATTTGAGCCTCAGAGTGGGGGGTTAATTTTTTTCTATCTCTAAAAATAAAGGGTGTTTCCATAAGGAAGTGTCCAAATTGGCCCACCCTGTACAGGGTGCTGTAATTTGGAGTGTTTCAACAGGAAAAACATACTTCCAGACCAGATAGAGGAAAATTTACTTAGACGTCATGGGATCGATTTGTGAGAAATGTCAATTGTCAAAAATTGTATCACGATAATATCATTTACCAATGAAGATATTATCTTCATTGGTACCATTGATACAGGGCGATTTTCGATTTTCCCTTATTATGGAAAATGGCTATAAGTTTTTTATTTATCAATTTTTTTTATTTCTGTAAAAACATTATGAAGACACTTTTTTGAGCACAATCCAGTGGCGGACTCGGTTTTTTTCTATATGGCTCCGATTTCGAGATATCGACCATATTCCGATATTTTCAAATGAAACTCCCTATATATTAATAGCTCATTGGATAGCTTTGTTTTTACTGATTTCAATGATATAAAGTTCGATAGGTTTATCTCTAACAGTTTTCAAAAAAAAAAATTATATCTGTTTTTGTCGTAAGGACCAATGTGTTAGAAAAGGATTTTATATGTGTAAGGAAAGTGAGGAAGGTCTCTTTCTAACACATTGTTTCTTATGATTGAGACAGATATAATTTTTTTTCTGGAAAACTAGAGATAAACCTATCGAACTTTATATCATTGAAATCAGCAAAAACAGAGCTATCCAATGAGCTGTTAATATGAAGGATGTTTCATTTGAAAATATCGGAATTTCGTCGATATCTCGAAATCGGAGCGATATAGAAAAAAACCGAGTCCGCCACTGGATTGTGCTCAAAAAAGAGTCTCCATAATGTTTTCACAGAAATGAAAAAAATTGATAAATAAAAAACTTATAGCCATTTTTCTTAATAGGGGAAAATCGAAAATCGCCCTGTATTAATGGTACCATTGAAGATATCGCGATACGGTTTTTGACAATCGATGTTTCTCGAAAATCGATTCCATGACATCTAAGTCAATTTTCCTCTATCTGGTCTGGAAGTGTGTTTTTCCTGTTAAAACACTCCAAATTGCAGCACCCTGTACATATATTGTTAATGTGTTAAAATGCCATGAAAGAGAAATTGAAAAAATATCCTATTTTTTCCTGGAAAAGGAAACTGAAAGACCTCTCACAAACCCTATGGAAAATGGCTTTTTGTCAAATTGGCTGAATTTTTGAAATCGGGTAGATTTCGATATTCTGATTAAAAGTTATCATTGAGCAAAAATAATTCTATGTACAGTTTTTGAGTGAATGGGCTTAAAAGACGGTATTGACAACGCATGAATCTTGACTAAGAGGTAGGTGCTCAACCACAACCCTCAACATTATCAATCGATGCTGAAATAGCCAAACTGTGGTATAGCGATGTTGAAGTCTAGGATCAGTATTTCATATCTCAGCTGAGATAAAAAAAAATTCTGTTGCCACAGTTTGACTATTTTAGTATCGATTGATAGCTTTAAGCACCTACCTCCTAAGCTTCATGCGTTTCCAATAGAATCTTTTAAGCCCATTTACCTAAAAACTGTAAATGGAATCATTTTTGTGCAATGATAACTTTTAATCAAAATTATCGAAAACTACCCAGTTTCAAAAATTATCATTTTTAAAGCTCACTGACATAATTTTCAGTGGTAGGAATCCCCGAAAAGAGAAAATCACTCAGCAAAATCTGCTATGAGCTGACGGTCTATAGAGATAGGATCGGATCCTTTGATTATAATCCACGCAACGCAAGCTATTGCACGGGCTACGTTACGTGAATCACCCCTTTACATAT